TATGAACATTGGGATGCAGTCACGCAGGGCAGGACTGGTGGCACGTGATGAGGCACACCTGAATTAAATGGAGCCTCGTCACCACGGTCATTAAATGCCGAGCATGCCTCGCCTCGAGAGACTGGTCTCTTTTCCCCGTGTATGTACACTGGTGTCCTCGCAAGCCCAGGAGGAGAGCAGGGAAGGATTGGGAGCTCACAATACTGCCGTCCAGCTAGAATTAGTCAGGCTGTCGAGCCCCTCAAATGCCACAGTCCAAGGAAAGCAGAGCTGCTACAGAAACCACTGCTCCTCCTAGTGCCCTGGATAGAGGAGGGGAGCACGTGCGGCCGCTAGGACCCCGCCTCCCTTTACCTGGGCTGAACTCTTTCGACAGTACCTGCCTTCATGACTTCCCTGTCACACCAGCTTCCCTGTTTATTTAGGACACGTTTATCCCCTTGGACACTTTATTTCCCCTTTTTGGGAGGTTTTATTTATGTTAAGTATAACCCAATCCGCGGCCTGACACCATACCCACTGTGTCTGTTGTTGCACCTCCCACTACACAAAGACTACGTCCATAAGCGACACAATTTCAAGTGCATGCTATGATTTTCTGTGGCTGTTGGATTTTTCAAATCTTGCTGTGGATATACTGCAGTATGAAGAAACACAGGTAAAACACAGACAAACCAATCAAAACAAAATAACAGCCAACTATTAACATATCAAGCGCACACAAAGATACAAAGTGAACAGAGTAGTCCAGTGAGAAAGTATTGGCATAAACATATGAATGAGGACAAAAGAGCAACTACTCATGGTAAAGGTTGGCAGCGCAGAGAGAACCGCTCCCTGTTTCTGACTGTGTAGAAATGCAGAACAAATTGAGAGAGCAAGAGAAAGAAACTAGAACTTTAATGTGAATTTCTGGTGAACAATCCTTCCGTTTAACATTGTTAGGAATGATGGACTGATGGCAGTATGACTCTCTGCTGACCTTACCGACAACCATTAACGGGGAAATTGGCCATTAATAATATTCCCAAGAGAGTTCACCAAGTTTACATTCCACCACAATACTGAGAGATGAAAAAGCTTTGTTACAAATTAGGTTACCAATCAATTACAACAGACAACAAAAGACTGACTGCAACTATCTGCATTCCTGTCTTGGATCATGAAGTTTTGACGTGTTAATGACAATTGATTTTACATATTACAAAAACAGGGAGAGGCTGCCTCTACTACTAAAGTTCAAAATTCAAAGATAGGATAATGGTGTTGCACTGTGCTGGGCAGATTACTTACAAATTGCAGTCCATTACTTATTGCAAATTACATAACGGAAATTGTAGTTAGTAACGTAATGTGTTGGATTACAATGTATTATGGCTACTTTTGATTATTTTTGTATTACTTTTGACCTAACCCATAAGAAAATTTGTTCCATTCTTAGTTATCAACATCATGAAGTGCAATAAACATTTATTCACACCAAGGTTTCCCAAACTGGGGTTCTTGAAAAAACTGCACAGGGTTTGTGAGGTGATGAAAAGCTAATCATTAATTCAATCATAAAAATGACTAAGTAAACTAATTGTGTGGCCTCTCCATTTATGTGTAATTAAAGTCATCTGACTAGTGACTGGTGCAGTTCCATAAAACCTAAAGACTTTCCGAATGTATATAAGGGGTAGGATTTTTTTAGAAAGAAAAATTTAACAGAGAGAGAGGGAAAAAGAAGAATTAGGACAAATCAATACATTATGAATAATTTACTGTGATTGTGTAATCGTATTCTATAGAAAAGTAACTGCAATCTGATTATGAACACTTTAAAATGTAATCTAATTACAAGTACTTAATCTGATCATGTAATCCAAATTACATTTAATCAGTTACTACACAGCACTGGTGCTGCACTATGCTAAGTTCATTAGGTTGTAAAAGCATAATGCTGCACCGTCAAATATGCTCACAAATTTCAGGAGCTAATAACAATACCAGTGACCTATCAAGATTCTTGATACCACAGCAAACTGAAAATATTATACACTAACTACTAACACATTCAAACGATGGCATGTAGACTAGTACCAGTATTCTTGACATCCTTGCAGCCAAATTTCAGTCCGGTTCTCTGGAGCTCTGCTCATTATGCTGTAAATGAACATTTGGTACAAGCCGCTTTAAATGCCTTAAAGCGGTAAGACTTCTGTCTGATTATGTCAGGAACATAAATAAGAGCCCATCTTGTTTTATCTCTCCAGTCCACCGTTAAACTGTCAGAATAATGACACAAGGTCTATGATCACTGACAAAGACCCCAGTGTGTCCAGTACACTGCCCCAGGTTTATAGGCAACCTAGCCCTGTAATAACTCCCAACTATGTCCGCTATATGCCAGTATAAGCAGCCTGGAATCATGCTTGATGCAAAATCTGGTGTGCATCCTACCCTAAACTCAAGCTCAAGAGCTTCTGAAAGCCCACTGCAGATTTAGGCTGCATGTTGTTTAGTCAGGCCAGTCGTTTAGGATTCTGCAGGGAGTGGTGTACAGATATGGATGATAAAATATAGGAGTGGAAGGAAACAGTAATAGCTGAGGGTGATATTAGCGTCTGATTTTGCGGCCCTGCCAAGCATTTGAAAGGGAGTGTCATGTAGCCTCTCCCACAAACAATTCACCAACTACCCACCCTGGGCCTCATTGACCTAATGGGTTACAATGTCATGCTGTCTACGAAGACCCACTCAATAAACTAATGTGCTAGAGTGCACAAGCTTGAAATACCTGGCAACCGACGGCGAGCCCCTAACTTCCTTTTCACAACTGCCTGCAGTATCAGATTGCGCAGGTGAAATGGACAGCAGATCTTAACGGCAACTCCAAGGTACTTTTTCCCAAACTGAACAACTCAACAAAGAGCAGCAGCTACCTTCGACTTTCCCCAGTGGATCTTTCTACAAATTTTTGACCAGTGGCAAAGCTGTTCTATAATAAACATTGGTTGTGAGTCCAGTCTTTATGAAGCGTCGGCTGGGTAAAAGCGCATTAGACACAGAGAAGGCTGTGTGTATGTGTGTTACGAGGATGAGAATAAAAGAGCGTGGAGCACATCTTTGTGCCTAAATGCTCCCGTTATCTCCAGAGTGAGTGCACGTCAGGCATGTATGGTGTATGTGGATGTGAGCTTGTGCGTAACCCTGCAGGTATGCGGTGTTCGTGTGTGTCTTACGGCTTTAGGAGTGTATAGTAATGGAGTGGGATTGTTGTGAGGGGGTGGGGTGGTGTGTCGGTGTGTGTGTGTGTGTTCAGGCGGAGGGGTGTGGGGAGGCTACATCACAGTCGTTCCAACTCCCGCCAGAGCCTCGTTGCTGTTCTATAATAAACATTGGTTGTGAGTCCAGTCTTTATGAAGCGTCGGCTGGGTAAAAGCGCATTAGACACAGAGAAGGCTGTGTGTATGTGTGTTACGAGGATGAGAATAAAAGAGCGTGGAGCACATCTTTGTGCCTAAATGCTCCCGTTATCTCCAGAGTGAGTGCACGTCAGGCATGTATGGTGTATGTGGATGTGAGCTTGTGCGTAACCCTGCAGGTATGCGGTGTTCGTGTGTGTCTTACGGCTTTAGGAGTGTATAGTAATGGAGTGGGATTGTTGTGAGGGGGTGGGGTGGTGTGTCGGTGTGTGTGTGTGTGTTCAGGCGGAGGGGTGTGGGGAGGCTACATCACAGTCGTTCCAACTCCCGCCAGAGCCTCGTTGCCATGACTACAGCAGAACGGAAGCCTCCCTCGATATATCCTATTAGGGCCTTGGCGAGACTTGGAAGGAAAGATAGAAGGACAGAAAAGGAAAGGTACAAAAAGATACCACAACAAAGTAAAGGGGAACTAGCACTGGAGGAGTAATATTAATACATAAACTATTATGACTCCTAATGGGGAACTTCAGACTGTAAGATACCATCCGGCAGAGGGAATTGTCTGTTAATGATCACTCTTCTATTTCTTCATGCTCTCCCGTATATTTAGTAATGGAAAAAATTAAATTTCCAAGTTCCAAAACATTCAAGGAATACTGATAAATGGACTGTCTTCAAAGAATTTTAGTTATATTCAGACCTCCCTCCATCCAATCAACAACCAATGTATAGAACCAAGTCCCCACCCTACTTTTTTTCTTTTTTGACAATCCATTTCACTTGGATGTTATATGGAAGAAAATTGCCCAAGTGCCTTCTGTGTGAACGCAAACACGTCCCGGGATTGATTCCGGGATCGATCCCAGGTTGGGGACCTAGTAACATTGCCGGGTTCAGTCCTGGAACGAGCTCTGCGTGAACAAAAGCCAGAACCAATGCCGTAAAAGGTGTGTCGTAGTGATGACGCACGTTATCGTGCGACTCTTTTACCGGGTGTTTTGAAGGCAGATCAAAGTTCGCGACGAAAAAATATGTGCAAACTGTAATGAAGCAGAGATCAGGTAGCTCCTCACTACCCGCGCTGAAGCTGAGATCATTCGCCAGCTTAAATGAAACAGAACGCGTCACATTACACGTCACATCGTAATATCACGTGTCTTTACGGGATGTGTGTGAAGTTGAACGCACACACAGATTCCGGAAAATCACTGGCAGTGTGAATGAACCACAATCAATCGATCCCGGGACACATTATCCGTGTATTTTCCGGAATTTCTGTGTGAAAGAGGCTATTGTGACTTTAATGCCTGAAAGTACTAAGTCAAATACTCCAGAGAATCATATCATGAAATTAATATTACATGCATTTGTAGAATAAATGTTGCCTAAACATTTAGATATGCCCTGTCCTTATCTAGAAAGAAGAGATCCAAGTTCACCCAGTCTAGAGGAACCATGAGGACCACTGACTTCATTTTCATGACACTGCAACCACACCCCTTACCAATAACTCCAGGCTTCATAATCTCCATCCCACTACCAAGTTCAGCCCCCACACACACATATGACACATTACAAAAGCTCACTCACCACCATACACTCCACCTCCTCTGGCTCCGGCTTGATTTGTATGGATGGCATCTCCTCAACAGGCTCAGAGGTGGCTGCAGTGGATTTCTTCGGACTCGTCTGACACTGCGAAGGAGAAACAGAGAACACTTCAGAGCTAATCAGAGCATCAAGCTGTAGTCTTACCAACAGTCTCAGGAGTTAGCAAAATGCACAATCTACAATTCGCCTGAACAAAGTGACCCGAGTTTGGAATTGAATCTAGTAGATAGTTCATTTTTAAAGTTAGCATGAGGCTACAGAGAGAGAGAGAGTTAATGATCCTCACCAGACTAATGTGAGAAGAGTAAGAAGACTGTTAGTCCCTCTTAAGCTCAAATTAGTTGGGGGAGGAGGAAACAAAAGAGATGATGGGTGGAAATCAAGTACAGGTCAGTCAAATGTGGGGGGATGTTTGAAGATGGAGGGAGAATTACAGAAATGGGAAGATATCAAAGAAGAGAAAGGCAAAAAAAGGCCTAGACTGAACTATACTAAAGATACTTTAGATAATACTTCTACGGTGCCTTAGAAACTAAATGACAAAGGTGTAGAGAAACAGAAGATTAGAGGGGGAAAAGATGGTTCTAAAAACTGACCAGCTGGAGAAAGACAAGAGAAGAGAAAGAGCAAATGAACCAGCAGGGAGGAGTAGTCAGCAGTCCTGCGTCGCCTCCCTCTTCGAGCCAAGCAGAGTCACACCCAGTTCTTTAAGACCGAATAGCAAAAGAGAGAGGCCAGTCTCACAGAGTAGAGCAGCAGTATTAGTGGAGAGAGAGAGAGAGAGAAATGTGGTAATGCTTAGGCATGGGGTGGGAGGGGGGGTCATGTGACCCAGCTGCAGTAGATTCCACAAAGAGGTGTGGCCCCCCATAAACTGGGGTGTGGCCGCCCCAATGTGCCCCTCCTCCCAACCTGGCACGGACACACGGTGAACACATGCATTGTGAACAAACATATATGCATTCCTTTTGATGGCTAATGTTGTCTGAGACGGCTGGTGTTACCCAATGCTTCATACACACTGAATGTGAGCAGAACATCTGTAAACAGGGTCCAAAAAGCGCTCACCAAGTTAACTTGCAGATGGCCAGTTACATTAATTGGAACTGCCATATTTTAAGACAAACGTTAAGAATGATAGGCTGACACTTGCTGATGTAAGTAAACTTGGACCACAAAGAAAAGAAAAAATGATCAATTTGACCATTTCTATCTATAAAAAGACATTAACAATTAACTTAACTACAAATGAATAACATATATAACTTTCAATATTAAAACTGTATACACTGTATACACAGTAAATCAATTTTCTATCATTTCTAATGGGCACTGAATAGCGTACCCATTAAAAGTTCTCTCAGCCATTATAATCGGGGGATGGGTCTCTGCTAGGGGTGTGCGATATATATCGTCTGCGATAATATCGTAATTGTTGTTTTAACGATGTGCGATTTGACATTATCGAGTATTTTGCA